GTTGATTACTCAAGGCCAACCGTATCATTCAATTACCTAGTTCCACAATCCTCCGTCTGTTTTTAATTCGAAAAATCTAAACTCATAGATACACGTGACTGACATAACGTTTATAAGAATCATGTGTACGAACGTGCGTGTAGAAGATTTATGAAAACAATAAAAATTGTGGAGATTTACAGATAGTTCACATTTGTGATAACTGTAGATTGCATAAATTGTGTATGTGTGATTTGAATATGTTACACTTTCCTCGCGTGATTTGCAGTGCATTTTCCTCGTTTGATACGGTATCAGTACAATAAATATTTGAAAGGGCAATTTATGGTTAAAACGGTATACTTTGTTGCGTGAAGAATACAATGAACAACCTACGACAAGCAACTGAAATAATTTGTTTAAAATTTGTAATCAGAGTAGCTTGAAATGTATAATTAATGGAGTTTGTCTAAAATATACATCGAGGACAATCTGCTTAAAATGTGCAATTAGAATAATTTGACTGAAATGTACAACTAATGTAATTTTCCAAAATGTTATCGGTATAACTGGTCTAAAATTTGTGTCTGGAATTCGTCTAAAATTGACAGGTACAATAATTTGTCCAATAACCATATGTTTAAAATATGCAACTACATTACTTTACTGAAAATATGCAAGTATAACTTACCTATAATATGTAACCAAACTCCCTGAAAAAAATAACTAAACTTATCCAAAATAATAGGTATAACTTGCCAGAAATATAATACTACCTATATAAATATGACCACTATAACTTCCCTTAAAATAAAAGAAAAAATTAATATCTAATCTAAATGTAGATATATATAAGATAAACCTAACCTAGGTTTAATTATTTAACCTAACCTACAAAATTAACCCAACCTAAGAAGTTAACCTAACCTACAAAATTAACCTAACATAAGAAATTAAACCAACCTAAGAAGTTAATCTAACCTACAAAATTAACCTAACCTAAGAAATTAAACCAACCTAGGAAGTTAACCTAACCTACAAAATTAACCTAACCTAAGAAATTAACCCAACTAAAGAAGTTAACCTAACCTACAAAATTAACCTAACCTAAGAAATTAATCCAACTAAAGAAGTACACCTAACCTACAAAATTAACCTAACCTAAGAAATTACCCCAACCTAAGAAGTTAACCTAACCTACAAAATTAACCTAACCTAAGAAATTAAACCAACCTAAGAAGTTAACCTAACCTAAGAAATTAACCCAACCTAAGAAGTACACCTAACCTAAAAAATTAACCTAACCTAAAACATAATCTAGAACATTCATGTAACTAAAGTAGCATTTCTAAATTAAGCAAACGAACAATCAGTAAATCTATAACATGAATCTAATATTAAATTGATTGAAAGTAGAAAAAAAATGGTCAGGAATTTTGAAATAAATACATTGTTTCTGGGATTTGAAGATGGAAAAGGAACGGCACGCAACAAATGACAGGTCGTCAAGAACCGGTTGTTCCCATCGTCGACGACTCACGAGCACCAGCAGCCGGTCGTCAAGAAAAATCGCGTCCTTATCTGAGAAATAGTGGTCCATAAAGAATCGGCGCGAGATAGGGTGATCGTTTCGTATAAGTTGACTCGGTATCGTGGCTGTGGTCTGTCGACAAAGTAACGAGTGATAAAGAGTGCAAAGAGATCACGGCATTCGAACGAAGCACCGGGAATCGGTCGTGAAAGAAATATCGCGTTTATTTGCCCGGATTTCCGGCCCGTTCGATAAAACGTTTTCACGCCACCTTATCCTCTAATGGCGAAACGTTCAATTTCGAGACCAGTCAGCTTTTCACCATTCGCGCCCGTGTATCTTCTAATATATTTCCCGTTTAGCTTTCGACCGATTCGCGGGGAAAATGTATGGCTACCTTCGTATAATGTGAGCACCTTCTATCGATTTTTATAAAATGTCTAAACTTCGAGACTTTGAAATTTTTTGATTGAGGGATTGAGGGATTTTTATATGTTCAAGGCGTTAAAATACTAATTGTATCAATTTTAGAATACCTAAGTTTTCAAAGTAGTATGTTAATGAATTATTGTATTATAGAGTTGTTATTCCAAATTACAATTTTTCCGAATTTGTAAATTTTCAAGTCTTTAAATTTTCGACTCCTAATGTTTCGAATTCTTGAAGTTCCGAATCCCTATTTTCACAAATTTCTGAATTTCCAAATCCCTAATTTCTCACCTCCTAAAGTTCCTAATTTCTCAAGTTCCGAATTCTTATTTTCTGGAATTTCTAAATTTCCAAATCCCTCAAATTCCACCTTCTGAAGTCCCCAACGTCTCAAGCTCCGAATCTCTATTTTCCCAAATTTTTGAATTTCCAAATCCCTCAAATTCCACCTCCTGCAGTTCCGAATCCCTATTTTCCCAAATTTCTAAATTTCCGCCTCCTAAAATCCCCAACTCCTCAAGTCCCGAATCCCTATTTTCCCAAATTTCTAAATTTCCACCTCCTAAAGTGCCAAACTCCTCAAGTTCCAAATCCCCATTTTTCCAAATTTCTAAATTTCCAAATCCCTCAATTTCCACCCCTCAAGTCCCGAATCCCTATTTTCCCAAATTTATAAATTTCCGCCTCCTAAAATCCCCAACTCCTCAAGTCCCGAATCCCTATTTTCCCAAATTTCTAAATTTCCAAATCCCCAAACTTCCAACCCTTAAAATTCTAAATTCCCAAATTCCCAAATTAAATATCCAAATCCCCAAATTCCCAGTCGGCCAATTTCCCAACTCCCCATGAAAGCGCACGCAACTTAAAAGTACGAAGCAAACAGCGCTACATCCATTAAACGAAACGGAAATGAAAATTACGAAAGTGGATCCTAATTGAGACAAAGAGGTACAGGTAGCCGAATTAATTTTGTTATGAAACTCGTCTCCGGCGCGTTCTAACGAAACAAGATAATCCTCGTTACACGAGCTTTACCTAATTAGCTTAATAAAAGGCGTAACAAAAAAAAGAGAAATTTTTACACCTCTCATAATCCGACTTCAGAGGATAAATTTTCAAAAATTTCGTCTCGGAGGCACGATCCAGCCATCAGGATAAAATAATTTGCCAGGTACTTACGTGTTTAACGCTTCAACGATGGATACTTTTTCCTACTACGTACTTTCGCAGGCTTTTCCCCCGAGTGTGTCACCGCGCTCCTCTTTTTCGCTGAAACTTTTCTGCTTTTCACGGAGGATCGGAAAGAGAGAGGAAAAATTGGGCAGAGAAAGAAGGGAAGAGGCAACAGCCGTTTGAACATCAACAGCTGCATCGCAGCCCTCCCCAAGCTAGCCATCTCTATTTGCTCCTCTTACATTCTTCGTGGAATAGTTTGGTCTCGCCGTGGAATATACACCGACTACGCCCAGAGAACGAAAGAGATTAAGAATATCTTTTTCGGTGCGTTTCCGAACAGAATCGTTCGTCCTGTGGTTCTCCCTTCGTCGAGCACCACTGTCTCTACAACGAGAAAAAATATCACTGTCGACCCTTGAACCCGAACCGAGAACAGCGAAGGACTTCCTCGAGAAATAACAGCTTCTGGAAACTGCCTCGTCAAATTTCCTTTCTGCATATTTTTAGTTTAGATTCTCCAAATGTTGAGTTTCGTGCTTGGAAAATTGATAACTTGGCAATTGTTCAATGTGGAAGTTGAAGAATTTTGAATTTGAGAAAGTGGTATTTGGGGATGCGTGGATTTGAGAACCTGGAGTTTCAGATATTTGAGGTACCTTGAGATGACTATGAAATTTAGGTATTTGAACAATTAGCAATTCCACAAATTTGAAGACTCCACAGAAATCTATAACCTTCAATTCACCAATTTAAAACTGAAGACTCAGCTCATCAAACCCAAAATCTCACCAACATTATAATAACAATTCATCCTAATCTTGAAAAATTCCCAATACTGAACACTCGTATTCAAATCTCCATCAGACACCTTTACATATACAACGGAATCTTCGACTGAAACACTATTTGCCAAACTAGATGGAGTACCAATAACGTAGATGGTTCCAGGAATGCCATGATAGTAAAGCGATGGTTGGCTGTTGCGAGTATAGCCCAAAGGGAAAATGTACCGGGAAACTTTATGGGCGTAAAACAGCGATGAAGTTCGCAGTCACATAGTCTTCGTAACGGTGAAAACGCTCGTAAACTGGGTAGATGTAAGACAACGGTAGCTGCAGGCTCTTCTCCTGGGAAAGACAAATTCAGGATTGTCGTGGACGTGGGAACAACGACGATGTTCATGGTCAGAAGAGAAAATGAATCTTCAGGTATTAATCTCGCACCTGTTGCAAATTCATACCTCGTACGCTTTAAATTCTTTTCTAAGGGAGATTAAGTGAAATAGGATGTTTTATGTGGACTACCATTTTCTCTGCCACTTAACGCGTTCAGTATGAATACTAGAGTAAAAAAAGATTCTGAAACACTGGTGAGCAGTTGCGTAGACATTGGTAGCTGGACATGTTCATGGTTCAGACAGTTACTTTAGCTTATTGTTGATTTAAGAAATTATATACCTAAATGATATACTGACTTACAGAATGATATACCTAAATGAGGTACTGACTTACAGAGTGATATACCTAAATGATACACTGTCTTAGAGAATGATATACCTAAATGAGGTACTAACTTACAGATTGATATACCTAAATGGTACACTGTCTTAGAGAATGATATACCTAAATGAGGTACTGACTTACAGAATGATATACCTAAATGATATACTGTCTTAGAGAATGATATACCTAAATGAGGTACTGACTTACAGAGTGATATACCTAAATGATACACTGTCTTAGAGAATGATACACCTAAATAATTCATAAATTCTTAATTGCTACAATTGCTAACAATTTATGAACACGAAAAATGTGGAAGTTAAGGATCAGGAAATATAGGAGCAGAAAATATGATCACCAGGTTCCAATAAAAGTCAGTCAAGGAATGTGAAATACTCCTTTAATGATATCTGACGAAGCAAATATATAGAAATCTATGATACATCCATGGCCTCTGGAGGCAAGTCTAAATAAACCTCGCGATCGTTGCGGTCCCACGGACCCCTCCACTTGACCAGCAGAAAAGACACAACGATATCAGTCCTTAAATTTTCCTATCTTTTTACACTTTCCTGCACAACACCTCTCGATCTCACCTCTACACCGACTCCACGGAACCTTAATTACAAACATCTGGTCAGCAACACTTGGTCGTTCCCCGAGGAACAATAAAAAAACATCGAGAGAAAGCTCTCTGCAGTCTTGTCGTTGACGACACATTATCACAGACAATCGACGAAGTTCATCGTTATGACCTCGCCAAGTTCGCGGAATCTTGGTCAGGTTTGGTGGGCAGTGGCCTGTTAGCCATTTTGCCGGCAGGAGTCGATGTTTGGGGTTCAGGTAGTTCCGAGTAGAGGTGAGCGGTCGCGTCGGACGGTTCGGCGTACTCGCAGAGTAAGGAGTTGGGCCTCTTGTTGTTGGTCTTCGAGGTCCCTAGGATACTCTCGCCCAGAGCCTTGAGGAAGCTCATTGGACGGCCATGATTTCTGGACTCGAGCTTGGGGCTCTCGGGGGGCCTGTGGTTGCCGGTCTTCAGGCTGCCGAACATCTGGCTCGAGCGGTCGTTGATCAGGTGGTCGTTCACCACGTCCGGAGGTAAAGGTTGCGGTGCTCTTCCGGCCAGGGTAGCCAGGATGGGCTGGGAGAGTCTGCTGGTGCTAGGGACAGTCTCGTCGCCTGGTAGCTCGGCGTAGAGGTGGTTCTGTTCGCTGGGTCTCTGATCGCGAGGCTCCGTGTACTCGGTCAGAGGTGGTCTGGGTTGGATACCGGAGGGTGTCAGCTTCTCCAAAGAAGGCGTCTTGGTACCCACGCTGACGCAGGGCTTCGGAGGACCCCTGTGCTTCCTCTGCTTCGGCTGGATCACGTCGTAAGCGTTCTCTTCCCTGGCGGACGGTTGCCTGTCGTTGTTGTTGTTGCAACTCTCCTCCACCTTGATCAGATCGTACAGATGTTCGATCATATCCCTCGCCTGGTTGTAATTGTCAGGATCGTTGAGCCTCTCTCTGAGATCCCTCAGGTATTCCTCAGTGAGCTCTTCGGGCAACGTCTGCGTCGCCTTGTTCTCGGTATAGGGATACAGTCCTTCGGCTTCCTCGTCCTCTTCCGCTGCTTCGGGCTGCGTCTCCACCTCCAGAATCCTGGTCTCCGGCTGGAGACCCGCGTACTCGTGCACGCTTAACCTCGAAATCGACCTGGCAGAGGTGGCGGCCGTCATTCCGCTACTCGGCGACAGCCAGCTGGCGAGGTTCATCAGGTGTCCGGATGTTAACTTCGGACACACGCCGTTTCTTCGTATGTACAGAACCCCGGAGCTGAAGCTCACCAGCATTATCAACACGGCTATCACACAGATCACCACGATGATCCTCTTCTCGCGTTGCAGTTGTTCCGAGTCGCTCATCTCCACGTCCAAGTATCCCTTGTGTCCGGGATATACGTGTGGACCGACGCTGGGTGGGCTGGCACTCGACTCCGGTTTCGCGGACGGCTTCTCGCAGTTGATGTGATTCCCAGGCATGCAAAAGATCTTCGTAAAGTTCCCCATGGACATATAACCCTGAGGTAAATTGAAACACGTGTCTAGCGAATGGTCGACGACGCAGTAGCTCGAGTCCATCATCCACGACACGGAGCTGTTCTTGCCCGTCACGTCCCGTATCCAACTCTCCAGGTTGCAGTTACACTTCTCCTTGAAGTAGTTGTTGCCCACGCGGGCGGTGTTCACTCGTTGAGAGATCGCTGCGAATTTCAGAGATCCTGACCGAGCTTTCTGTATCTGGTTCCCGGTGAAGGAGAACTCGAAGTTCGGGGCCGATGTGGCGTCCACCTCGGCGCTGATCGCGTCCGTCTCTAGGTCCACGAACAGATTGTAATCGATGGCTATGTGGTTCCACTGGTGCAACACGATGGCACCCTGGTGCAGACTCTGGAACTCGTTGTTGTTGAAGCTGACCGTGGCTGCGGATATGTCGATGGCTCCCGTATCCACATCTGATAGGCTATAACCGTAAGACGATATTGGACTTTGATAGTTCATGCAAGATTCACAAATGACGACTCGAAGATTTTTGTAATGACTGTAGATTTGAAGCTGAGTTTCACTTCGTGATTTCGCAATTATATCGATTGCGAAGGAAACATTGTAATAACCTTTATTAAAGGACTTATATAAGCGACCTAGTTTATCGAGAAAAAACTTGTTATTCAACTCGGTCTATCATTAGGTATCCTTCGGTCAGTTATTTTTGTTGACTACGTTTGTAATGTCATCTGACATGTAAGGAGTTTTATTCGCAGAATAGTTGCTCTAGCAATAATGTATCCATAAATTCATCTTCTAAAATTCTAAATGTACCCTACGATTTATAGCCATGCAAGGAAGATTGAATTTCCTTAGGGAAGCAAATTATCTTCTAATTACATCGAGATGAAATGAACCATTACCTTGAATATTGTATCGTGAGATTATCGTGGCCAGCCCTGAACGCTCCTCTCTCGATGTTCTTCAATCTAACGTCGACAAATTCGAGGCTTTGGATTAACGCCCTGTCGCTGAACGCTCCCGTCTCGATCGCTTGTATGGAAGCGTTGCTGATGGTCACGCTGAAGATCGTCATGGCGCAGAACGCGTTCTTGCGGATCACCTTCGTCCACATATCGTCCATACGTATCTCGGCCACCGCCGATGGGAACACCGCTGTCGGCAACTCCGTGATTTTCACGCTTTGGAACATAATCTGCACCGGGGAATTAGAAAATCGACATTACGGAGCTGCTGGAAAATCGCCAATTCGCCTAAACGAATGTGTACCCTTGCGCTCGTTCATCGTGAAACGGTTTGTCGATCGATTCGAGCGTGAAAATAAACAGTCGCTACTTTGAGCGCGCCCCTTTGAGCTTTGTGAGTGATCAGAAATAATTGGATTCGATTCAGTGATGCGAATTGACGATTTAGAGATCGTGTTTTCTTTTTTGGAAATTGGTTCATAGTTTAGATTGTCGGAAGATTTCGTTGGGGCAATATAACGAGAACTTACTGTACTTGCTTTTACACGGTGATCACATGATAAATCGAGGTCTGCAGGGTATGCATAAATTTAGCTTGCAAGATCCACAGATGACTATAAATGCATAAACATCCTCAATGTACTGATGTCTTCACAAAGCACTTATTTCTACTGATTCTGGTAACTCAATCAAACTGTAGATATATCATAAGTCCAATCACTAATTTTCTATTAAGTCTCGTAACTGAACCCGCAATTAATTCCCGCAGCCTAACTATTCCACGCAATACCGTGGACTCGGACTACGTGACCCAACTACAAATTTCTAAGTAAACGAAGTAAACGAGCAGTGAATTTTAAGGTAATTCACCTTGGTCGCTGGTCCATGCCTGCCGTGCTGCGAAGCTTCGAGTTTGAACGCGTTGCTGGACAGCTCCAGGGTGGGTACTTCTCTGACGGTGATCAGAAGCAGCCTGGAGAACGCGTTCGGTTTGATGCCGACGTGTCTGCACCTGGATATCGAGACGCTGAGGGTCCCCCGTGAATTCCTGAACGCGTGACTCTCCAGAATCACGCTGTCGCACTCGGACACCTCCAGATGCGTGTTGGGTGCGCTTAGATTCAGAAAGGCCTGTCTTTTGGCTACCAGACTGTAAATCCCTGAGACGTGGACTCGTTTCACCGGTGAACCATCCGCGAACGCGCCTGATTGGATCCTTAACACTCGGCAGTGGGAGACTTCTACTTCCATCACGTCCGATGGAATGGTCCCTTCGAGCAGTTCTACGTCCTAACAGAGAAGGTTGATTATTAGCTTCGTATTTTTATGGGAAGAGATGTGGAATTTATTCGTCACAAGAGGAACTCTAAGATTTCAGAAATATTTTCGCGGTCTTGTGACGAGACGGTCACGTGTGAGTGCAGTAATTGTTAGACTATGTAGATAATGCTAGAATACAATTTTTGTTTTAATCAACCGCAGCTTTCAGTGTCGGGACTGACGAGGTATTCTCGGTTTAAACTGGTTCTTGCGGATTAGGGAGAGGCATTTTAATCCTTAAAGCTTCTTTGGAAATCGTGAAAAATGTTGGGTTGGTTCAGAATTCGTAGCCTGAGTATAATAATTCCAACTCGAATTTTCTTCACATACCCCAATGATTATCTAGTAATACTCTTTCTATCATTACATTTTGTAATTTAATTCAAAGCTTAATAACATCATCACGATTATTCTACTATTTGCTTCGTAATTTCATTCTCAGCTTTCAATGGCGCTTCGATCTAAAAGATTATATTACAGCGTGAAGAATCCTTGGGATGCAATTATATTTCGTTAAGAAATTACACGAAATTGCGAGGCAGCTCAGAAACTCGAGGAACGCGAGCAACTCGAGGCATTGTGTCGAAGTCGAAACAAATTACCGGAGTAATTCAGCACGTTGCAGATATTCGAAAACATTCTTCTTTCCGTAATTGCAACGTGACAGGTTAAATCGTTTGGTTTCTGTCGTGAAATTGATGTGATTGCAAATATCGCCCCGACAGGATTTTCCTTTCTTTCTCTGTTACATGACGCTGGAGTAGACGGGGGAATTTTAATTGACCCCAGGTATAATTTCTCGGAATAATTTGCCTGTTACGACTGTGACGGCGATGAATAATAATTAAATAGTTAAAAATTTACATAATGAAACGGAAGCCTTTTGCCCTGTCGTTTTAAAATCAACAAGTGAATTTCTGCTAGTTTGAATTGTTGTGGAAAACGAGAAAGCGGAAAAGGAAACGGGAAAGTATCGCGTGATGCAATTAATATTCTGATCGTTGATCCTGATATTGCGAATTCTCGATATCGAGCGAAATTCTTTCGTGTACTCGTAAGTCATTTTGTAATTATCTTTTATCTGGTGCTTGAACGGAAAAATGAGAAGCGAAATCTTTTTCGTGCAGATTATTTCTAAGTTTTCAAAATATATATATTGTTTAAAATATATCGATATTTTCTTATATATTTATATTTGATATTTAAGTATTAAATTTGATATTCAGTATTAAATGTGCGTACATTTTTTTATTATTAAGTAGACAAGAAGATCATAAATGAGTATCGAGTCACACTGCTGCTAGTCAGATGGCTACACAAAATGGCGGCCCAATCAGGTCACGTTCGTAAATGTATATTATTGGCAATTACAACCGAAAATATATTGAAAAGTGTCAATTTATTATAATCACTTTTATTATTGTAACGTTTTGCAAGCTTCAAAGCATAAATATTCACAATCATAAATATGTATCTCAGTAATAAAATATGGCGATGAAATTTTGTACCGATAAAAGCATAATCAGACTATTCGTGTTAGGAACAAACGAGGGTATTTCGCGATTATTAATACCCTTGATACACGACACGTTATCTTTTTAATCTGATCGCAACAATTTGACAAAGTTACCGTTTGACCGCGTTCAAATTGAATGGTTTCGATGAAAAATTCCCGGTAGAATTTTCCGCGATCACTTTATTCACGGTCCCCGTATCAATGTTAATCGTCCCCAGAAGTAATTTTTAATTCAACGAACGGAAAGTGCATACGCGATGAGAAACGTTCCGCTGTTCCTCGTGAAAAATGAATCACGGAGCTGAAACGCACGCGATTACCGGGAATATCTGTATCGAGCTCATCCAAGGTTGCATGCCCCGTACGCATCCTTTTTCGCATTTACATTTTCATTACATAACGAGATATCCATGTCTGTCGACCAGCGCTAACTGCGCCACGCATCCTTTCTTCGTTTCCGTTGAGGGTCGGACGTGATTTTATTCAGAATCTACTTAAACCTTCTTCTCTGACAAATGACAATGTTATACAGTAATATTAGAAGTATAGACTGAAGAATTTTATCGATGTCAGCACATTTACTGGCCGTTCTTCCGTGATCAGAGGCAATAATTTTGAGGAACACTTCACTAAGGTACTAGTTGATTCTTTCATTGAGATAGGAGTCAAAATGATATAGCATTGTGGCATTAGACATGTCAGAAATTGTTAAGAAATTAGACATGTACATAAAATGATTAAACTAAATTCATACATTTGAAGAAGAATAAAATGATTAAACTAAATTCATACATTTGAAGAAGAATAAAATGATTAAACTAAATTCATACATTTGGACAAGAATAAAGTGATTAAACTAAATTCATACATTTGAAGAAGAATAAAATGATTAAACTAAATTCATACATTTAAAGAAGAATAAAATGATTAAACTAAATTCATACATTTGAACAAGAATAAAATGATTAAACTAAATTCATACATTTGAAGAAGAATGAAATGATTAAACTAAATTCATACATTTGAACAAGAATAAAATGATTAAATTAAATTCATACATTTGAAGAAGCATAAAATGATTAAACTAAATTCACACATTTGAAGAAGAATAAAATGATTAAACTAAATTCATACATTTGAAGAAGAATAAAATGATAAAATGCCTGGTTGAAAAATTTAATTATGAAGTAGATAATAAGTGCCCTACGACAAAATTTATGTCAATGACTATGTGTTAATATTGACAAGAGTCAATTTGTATAAATAATATCAGCTATACTTCCCAGTCTGACTATTAAGACTAACTTTAATTTTGTAAGATCCTGTACAGTTGAAATACCACTAAATACCTAATTATCAAAATTTATGTGCCATGGAAAGTTTATGTACACCTGATGGGTCATTAGATAGGCATCAGTTTTGAGTGGAATATTAATCACATTTTTCGGCGAAAGAGAAAACAAAAGAGGAAGGAGAAATTGTTAGTCCACGACAGGTTACCTTTAAAAGTACTTCCGCTGACGTCGGCTTCCGGGCTATCCCTGCTTCGCTGGTCAACACAATTTAATGAAACGTTCGAGCACTATGCCAAGTAATAATTCTGTCGATTCTCTCTAAAGTGAGTCACGTACAAAAATTATCCAATTAAGGATTCGACGACCACTTCCATAATTTTGCAAGATTAGAACACGTGACATTATGGTTAAATATGAAAAATCTTTCCGCAAGGATTAAACCTTGATTTCAGTACCAATAATTAAGGATTGTTAAATGTATCTGACAAAACCTTAAAAATTGCAGTAATAATTTTCGACTGCTAAAGAAAGTTTCGTTCAAATTTGAGGTTAGATCAAATATTCAAGAATGGTGAAGTTTCGTAAAAATAGATTCAGAAAGAGGTGTGATAGTCAAAGTAAGAGATCAAGAATACTAGAAAATTTTGTCATTTATACACGGAATTGAAGCACGATGTAGGAAGCAGAGGAAAAATGTTTTTTCCAAAAAATGCGTAAAAAGGCCAGGGAAATGGAGTACGGCTGTCGCTCGGATTGGTCGCGTCTCATTTTTCCCCGGATTTCCCACGCCACACCGGTGATTTATATTCACGACGTTGCAAAGTTTATCTTTGCAAAAAGAGAAGCGCCAGCACCCGTGTAACAGTTTGGAAAAGCTTCGAGACCGCTTTCCAGCGATACCTCGCTCGCGCAAACACCATCGTCCGGAAAATCCCTGCTGGACTAACGTCTAAACACGGTATATAGGGTGTCTAGTAATCGGCCACATAAATAACTAAAATTCTACCTTCTGTATGCTGATTCTACAAAAACTCTTCGTAGCTTTTCAAAAATATTACTCTTCTTTTGTAACTATTCACAGAAGCATCATATGTAGTTGCATATGGTTACACATGTTGCACATGCTTTTATGTTCATTAACATAATACTATAATTGTAGATTTGTTCCATACAGTAGTTTTGTTAGAGTCTCAGAAAATGTTTGTTTTAGTGTTCTAGTTTTGTAAAGCCTGAGAATATAAAAATAACGATGGAAGTTCGACCATCGACCTGTGATTGCTATCACATGTATAATGGGTTGAGAGTGTGAGCCTTGCTATCAAGTATTCGCATGTATTGTTGCTATACAATTCCATCTTTGCAATGGAAATAGAGCTTCACATCTTGATACAGTGGAAGAGAGAAAAGAATTTTTTGAGGGATGTCAAGGGTCACTTTATGCTTTTTATAAAGTAGTCGTGAGTCATTATGTGTAGCTGTTACAGTCGGTTAATGGTGGAAATGGAACTAGACTTCTGAATCTTGATGTCTTCAAATTTACAGACCTACGAATTCATAAATTTTCGCATACTTAGATCTCCAAATTTTTAGATCTTGAAACACCTGTCTTCAAATTTCAATGAGCCTAAACTTCTATTTGACCACAAACCTATGTCCCCAAATCTGGTCATCTTCATATTCCTAAACCTCTATGGTTGATGTTCCCAAATTTACAGACCTCTTCCTAAATTTCCACATATCTAGACTTCGAAATCCTAGATCTTCAAACACCATATCTCCAAATTTCAATGACCCAACCTTCTGTCTGACCAACTACCTATATCCCCAAATCTCTACATCTTCCTCAAACCTCCAAGTCCAAAATCTTCAAATTCCCAAATTCACATGCATCCAAATTCCTGTATCCTCCCATCCCACCTCCATCTCCCTATATTTCCTAACCCCAGAAGACCCTAAATATCAAGAAAACTGCCCTCCTCAAGGTTCATATTTTCCACGAAGTAAATTTTTCTGGACTTCGCTACCCGCCACCGTGTATAAGTGTGGGAGGTCAAAATTTCCATGAGAAAACGTGGCTGGTGAACCGTGTTGCATCGATGAAGCGTTCTTTCTAGCCTGGGAGCCGGTAAATCGAAGGGACGATATCCTAGAATCCTATT